GACCAGCATGCACCACCGGAACGACTCCCAGCGGCTGGGGAAGGCTGGCTGCGCGCCAGAGCCGTCGCTGCAAATGGCAAATACTAATTTCCTCTCCACCTTATCCCCTGAACACTGCAGACCTTTGGCGGGGGAATGCATGAACAAGCTCAAATGCGGCGCTGCTGAAGCAGAGATAATGAATCTCCCCGAGCGCGTGGGGACTTTTTCCGCTATCCCGGCTTTAGGGGGCATCTCATTACCTCCAGGGGTCATCGTCATGACAGCCCTTCACTCCCCCGCAGCAGCCTCAGCAGCCGTCACAGACAGTGCGTTTCAAATTGCCAATCTGGCAGACTGCCCGCAGAATCACTCCTCCTCCTCCTCGTCCTCCTCAGGGGGAGCTGGCGGAGCCAACCCGGCCAAGAAGAAGAGGAAAAGGTGTGGGGTCTGCGTGCCCTGCAAGAGGCTCATCAACTGTGGCGTCTGCAGCAGTTGCAGGAACCGCAAAACGGGACACCAGATCTGCAAATTTAGAAAATGTGAAGAGCTAAAGAAAAAACCTGGCACTTCGCTAGAGGTCAGAGGAGATGATTTCTTGTTTCCCAGTCTCCCTCCCCTCCCTTCTCACTCCCCTCTCCTCTTCCCTTCAGGGCTTCCTGTCTGGCTTCAAGATTCAGTGCCCCTTTCCTGAAGCTTCATTTGGGTTGTAAGGCACCGTTGCAGGTGGTGTGTCGAGAGCATGGCCTCTGCACCACCCTCCCCAGCCGCACTTCCTGGGTTCCGCCCTCCACATGCGGAGGGCGCTCCTCCTTTTTATCTCTGTGGGAAAACTAATGTAATTGGTTTGAAAAATCAGAAGTTTCACATTTAATATGGTCAAAAATTTCCCTTGGTGGTTTCAGATGCCTCCTCTCTCGTATTATTTTTAAAAGCATCTCTGCCCAAAGAATTGGACACATCACATTCTGTATATACATTTATTGGCCAAGAGAGACTTACCAGTGGCCCAATTATAACAGTGAGGACTCAGTTTGTGGCACAAGCCTATGTTCCCATTAAAACATACACACACACACGAATCATTGAAGCTGAAATACGTGGGTTCAAAGGGGATGTTCTGCCCCTTCTAGAATAGTTTTTCTTCTCACTATGACAAAATGTTTGTTTCCCATTTGATTTTCTGCATATCTCCTTTTTTTTTTTTTTTTTTTTGAGAAAGTAAAAACAATATAGAAAGCCAAACACCAACTGAAATTTTTAAGGAGATGTTGACTTAGAATGAAGGGATACAATTAGTTCATTTAGGTCAGGTAATGGTAATTTTATTTAAACTATTTTTACATAGTTTCAGAAACAAATGATTTCTAAAACTCAGTTACCAAAAAAAAAAAAAATGTGCTTTAGACTCTGTATTTAATAAAGTAACCATTTTGTGGTTACACAATTGTTCTATACACCAAGCACAGTTTTGGTTGATACCCTAGTTGGTCAATAATAGTTTCTTTTTCCTATATGTTCTTAAAACAATCTAGAGATTCTCATTAAAGTAAATTGTTAAATTAGATTTTTAATTTTCTTCAATACAGAGATCGATGTATTCAGTGGAAATTTCACATGGTAACCTGGTCAAAACAAAAAAGGAGAAAATGGAAAATCACAGGTGTTTATGCTGGTATTTTTAGCAAAGAAATATGGACGAGTGATCATATTTAGCACCTTGATAAAATTTACAGAGTAGATGGCCAGATGTTCATATGTACTTGAGAACATTGGTGCTGGTGGTGGTGGATTAGGCATTTGGGAGTATTCTTTGGGCTGGATTGTAGGGTGAGAGTGTCTCTCACAAGTTATCAGAGGGGCACCTGCACATTCTATAAAAATATGTGAGCTCTGCTTAAAGGAGTTTTCTCCATGAAGGACTGGTCTTTCAAAGAATGAAAGAGAAGAGTTAAAGATCTTTGTTGCAGGTGTGAACACAAATAAGATACAGATGTTTTGTTAATATAAATTAAAACAGCACTTTGGTATCTAAAAAATCAGTATATATTAATAGCATTATCTATTGTGATCAATTTCATCCAAATATTTCATTTATTCCCCATTATAAAAGAGCTCATCTCTTTGTCAAAAGTTTGACTTTACTCCGGGGGATGAGGGGTTACTATATTTCCTTTGGCAACTCTATTTAAGCAAAGATAATAGCAATTATAAATGCAAGTCCATGTATTTTCTTAAGTTGCAAAAATTCTTATATTTTGAAGTCTCTTTTCTGGATTAATTTATTGTAACTTCTCTGGTTCTCTAAGGCCCATAGGAAATTAAAATTCAGTTTATACTGAAATTTCCTATTAATACCCAGTTGATAAGGACTACGTGGCTTTTATTTTTCCTCTCGAACTGTAGTATCTAGAGTTATAGATTTGGTGTTACTGGTAGGCCTTGTCTTTAGCTAGACCCATAGCACTACCTGCATCCTAATTTAGGGTGTGTAGTAGATAGGACCATGGAATTATTCTGATTTATATAGTAAATGACCACTCTGAAGGCGCTTAATGTACAAATAGGTATTCTGCACAAGTTTCTGTGATGATTTATCAGTCTAAGCAAATTTCATGAATTTCCTTTTTTCTTCCTTTTGATAGTTTCCCCACAAACTTGTGATGTTTACATTCTTTAGGCATTTTGGTCACATCCGATTCCATGTATTGCTTTTTTTTTTTCTTTTTAAAATCCATGTACACAATAGTTCTGAGGCTCTTCAGAAGGTGGGGTGTGAACTGTAGAGAAACAAATTTCTCTATTTGTAGAGCTCTGTGGAGATATATTCCTAACTACATACCCTTTCTACCAGAGAATGGATTGCAGTTTAAGGCTAAGATTATTAGTGGAATGCTTTTTGGCAAAAAAGAAAAAGAAGTTGTGTGTGTGTGTGTATGTGTGTGTGTGTGTGTGCGTGTGTGTGTGTGTGTGTGTGCGTGAGCGTGTGCCTGCGTGCCTGGTTGGTTTTTTTTTTGTAATTGAGTAAGATTCTATCTAGGTCATTAAAAAAAGGCAATGGTGGCATGACTGCCTTAAGCACATGTGTAACCACACAGTTATGGTTGTAGGAAACCAGCTGGTCGCCTGTCAGAGTGACAGGGTTTACATGACTGAACCAAAGCTAGAGCAGTGGTTGTGGGTTGGTGAAAAGTCCCCCTGCTGACCTGCTTTCCTCTCTAATTTGGTTCCTGTAAGTTATCATCATCTGTGGAGATGTTTTAGAGATTGGATGGATGCCTTAGCTGAGGGTAGTGATTTGGGGATTTATTATGGATATACCTGTGGATTTCAGGGGTAAGTTTAGTAGCTATTATTTCTTAACTTTAAATTATGGTCACCAATTAATATCTGGATCATAACTACTAATATTCTTATTTATCACTTCAAACATCATGTGCCCTTCTTCTCTTTGACTTATTATCACCCCAAAGATTGGAAGCATAATCAGATTTTCAGGATGAATAAACTAAAATTAAGACACACTCACATGGATGTGTTGGGATTCTTGCCCACGTTTTTTTAAAGCTTCCCATCTAGCATTACTTTTAAAACTGCTTTACTTATTTCCACAGTTGCTGCTTAGTCTCATAATGGCTTAGAAATATTTTTATAAAATAACCCTCTTAGTAATATTTCTTATGATAACAACATAAAACTAATTTTTCTGATATCATACACTGTATATTTGCATATAACACTTCCATTTAGGCAATTACTATATTTAAAAGTTGTCACTAATTTGCCCCTTATGTGACAAAACTTATCTTAAAAACTTGTATCCTAAATGATGGATATTAAATTCCCAGGTATTTTCAGAAATATGTGATTATATATTATGATAATAAGTTACATAATAGCACTTTGTCTCATACAAAGGTAATCCTTCAATCTTCATATTCACTGCCATTATATTTCTGCTTCTAAGATCTAACTTTTTAAAATATCCCAACCTGCTATAGGCTCAAGGGATAAAATTGTCCGGTGGGCAACCCCAGCCTCTTAGGCCTTGAACATTGTTCAGGTGACATGATTGATCTCTGTGGGACAGCATTAGAGACCACACAGATCTGGTTTCTCTCGCATTAGCTGATTTATGGAATTACATTAGTAAGCAGAGCCTCAGGAGATTTCCCTGCCCCCACTCTTGGCTCTCTGCTGTGAGTAACACACTGCCCCCACCAAGGCTTTCCATGTACTAGCAGAGGGACTTGAAAGGGACACACACATTAGAGTGAAGAGACTGAGCAACTGGAAAGTCAGGAATAAAGACAACTTCATCCTCTCTCTTTTTTTCCCCTCTCTCTCTCTCAAATTTATCTCTTGAATGTACTTGGCCAACAGTAATTTTCCGGTTAGGTGGAATTTCTAAGGGGTTTAGTGGAAAACATCAAGATATTGCCCCAAACTTGATAATTTAGAAGAGTGTTTTAGGGGAGGAGGGACCCATTTTATATATATACTGTTAAGTTCTAAGAGCCCCAGCCACACAAATGGCCATTGTAAAATTTTGGACAAAGCACTGTCTGCAATTTGTGCAGAAAGATGGCACATGCTTCCTGAGGAAATTCATTTGTAGACCATACATAAAATAGGCGTGTCACTCAAACTCAAGGTCTGTGTAGTTAAATAATGGAACCAATCAATAATTGAACATGTCATAGTTTTTGAAGTTTGATGACTTTTTAAAAAATTATAGGTAAAATATAAATGTTTATATCTTTAGTTTTAGATCATAATTTAAAAATGAATTTTCAGTTTTTAGTTTCAAGAATCAAAAACATACTAGTATAAAAATATAAATTTTTGTTTTAATTTCAAAATGCAAATATATTACTATCAGAAGGAAAGAGGAACTTTTCAATAAATTCAAACAAAATGATAATATATTAACACTAAAATATAATGAAATAACACAGGAAAAGATACTAATTTCATAAATGATAAGAAAAAAGGACAGAAAAGTTCAGCTACAACTAAAGTCATAATTAGATTTGTAGCCAAGGTACCAGACTGTAATATAAATCCACTGAGACTCTTTTTCCATCACCAGATTCAATACAAGGCGATCAAAGTTGTTTTTAAAGAACCATACATTTTAAATAATTCCTAAGTTTAAGTGAGAGTGGTACCCATCCAACTATCATGTAAATTATAAGCAATCTTTTGGATGGCAATTAAAAATAATAAAATCAAAATAATTAAAATCTGTTTGTAAATTATCCTATAAGAATATTTGTTTGAAATTCAACCATCATCAAACAAAATACAAAGTCGATCAGAACAAATCAACAACAAACTTTAGACTTTAATCTGGAAAAAAAATTGAATATTTTAAATAAGAAAGGAAACTGTCTAGTGATGTGGGAAATAAAATGTTCTTGGTTTTTAAACTTTTTAATGAATTAATTACTATATTGCTGCACATTTTGGTTAGTTTGAGCCAACTGTTTCCCTGGGTGATGAGTTAAGAGTTTTGTGTAGTTAAACTTACAGACTGATAAATGCAGAACAATTTAATAAAAATAGTCAAGACTAAAA